CGTAGGTCTACATCACCCCTCCTATGCTGTATATGCTGTGCCGCAGCATCATATAGGATATAGTTCCTCTCTATCTATAGCTTCCCTAGGAATAGGTCGTCGCTAAGGCTACGTACAGTATACGTAAAGATCTTCTTATTATAACCGCATAGCTTAGGGTTAAAGACAACTACGCCTGTTGCTTTTGTAGCACCTATACTATCGCTAAAGCTGCCTAGTACCCGCTCAGAGCGGTCTACTATAGGCAGGCGGAGCTTATAGGCTAGGTTGTGGTTGATAAGGGCGTATAGGTCGCACCTATTGTCCACTAGGGCGTCCGCCTAAGTGCCCCTATATATGCAGGTAGTGACCACTACTGACTTGCTGCTCATACGATGCTTAAACTGCTTCTATTCTGTGATATCACTAGACTTTGCCTCTAACGCCCAACTTTGCGTTAGAGTTACTCTTTTCCTAAGCTCTCTTCAGCCTCAGAACTTCTCAACTCATCTGTAGCACTATTATTGCTGCTCTCCTCTAGCTTCTTAGCTTTCTTAACCTTCTTAACCTTCTTTGGTCCTGAACGATTTAGCTTAGGGCACTATATAGCGATATAGCCTATCTTGTTACAGTTGTAACATCAGCGACTATCCTTATGTGGTTGCTCACTACCCTCAGACTTAGATGAGGAGGAGTAGCGTCTGTGGCGCTGCGGTTCTATAGCTCTCTTCTTGTTCCTTGCGCGGCTTACGCCGGTCATAACTATATCACTATCGTCGTTACAGTGCCTGCTTGCTTTGGGGGCTCTGGGGCGGTATGAGCTGTTCCTATGCGTTATAGCTGGAAGTCTCTCTAGCCTTGCAGCTACATCTTATACGCATATAAGCCATCCATAGTAGTCATCAACAGGGAGGTTGACAGTAATAAGAGCTTGCTGGAGCTGCATACTAAGTGCTCCCTCGAGGAGGGTTATCTGCGCCTGGTCTGCCTAACTTGCTCCTCCAGCTTCTGACAGTATTCTCTCGAATCGGGGGAGAAAAGAGGCGAGAGACTGATCGTCCTATTGCCAGATCGTTCGTAGCGTAGCAGCTGCGCAAGAGGTAGCACTTAGGTCCTTATATATACAGTCCAAGTACCTCATAAACTCAGAGGGGTCTTGTTTACCCTTAGGGCCACCAGCAGCGTAGAAGGTAGCAATAACTTGCTGAGGGTCAATATCAAGGCGTGAGTTAATATAATACCAGACCTCAGCCTTACCCCCTATATACTATATATCCAGGGTTATCTTATCGCATATTTGCTGAGACTATGCTTGGTAGTCTTTACGCTTTCCCGTGAACTTTAGGGGATTCAGTAGGGGCTTCTTTCGCCCTTCAGCTACCTTCACTATACCGTCACTTAGAGCCTATATAGTCGTATCAGCTGTAGATAGGGTTAGTATGCTACTCGCAAGCAGCGTAAGGGTTGCTCTATCTGGTGATATAAGCCTATTTAGAGCTATTAAGAGCTGCGTCATCTAGGTTGACTGCTGGAACATCTGGTCCTGAAGAGGACGTATGCTTGCGTTAACCGCTTCGTTAACCCTGCGGTCAATCTCTGCAGTCATTACGTCGTTTGCGCTACCCTCTGGCGAATCTATTATGTCGCACTCGTGACGTTTTCATATAGCGTCTTCTCGTTACGCTACCCTCGAGCGAATCGGTCGTATCGCTCTCGTGAGGTTTCGTATAGCGTCTTCTTTTGTTGAGCTTAGAATATGTAAGGGGCTGGCCCCTAGGCTTGTTCAACATAGAGGTGCCGTCGATTGACTATTCCAAGCTGAAGAAGGAAGAAGGGACTTTACAGGGGTAGGCGCCTAGCGGCGGTGAAGCACACCGGGGCTAGGCGGTGTGCCACGGCAGAATAATGGACCCGGCGGAGCCGGGTCTCAGTAGCTGCTCCGGCAAAGCTGGAGATCTCGGCCGGGCTCTAGCCCGTGACAAATATATATATATAGACACCCACACCTCCTATAACTAATTCCTCAACACTATTAGCCTAGCAGTTATAAACACCTTCTAACTAATATGAAATGCTTTCACAGTTAAACTTTATTAAAACTTAGATCTCAGCCTATTAAGAAAGCTCTCTAACACTAATAATTAAGGCAGTTAACCAGCTAGCAAAAAGTGCATAAATAATAATATACTTAATTATAATTTTAATAGATCAGGTGCACACACTTCAGGATGCTAATATAGCGCTTACTAAACGCTAGAGAGCAAAAAAGATATATATCTAGCTTAAAGGAGCACTTAGTATAGCAGAATCTTAGGTTATCCTGGAAGAAAAGGGTAAAGGAAAACGTCTAGCGCCTTAAGAAGGTGAAGATAGGGGTCTGTCGAAGAAGGGTTGGTCGGCTTAATAGCGTTGCAGTGTGTGCGGCAAGACAGGCCATAATGTGCGAACGTGTTCTAAAGATGTAGAATCGTCTAGTGAATCAGATGCCGATGAGAGCTAATTGATTTTCTACGTTCTGGTTGTAAAAACTTATATGATGTTTGAAAGATGAGGAAAAGTGTGCGGCTGACTGATATGCGCGGCTGACTGGTAAAGTATGTTAGAGAATTCAATTAAATGGAAGCTATAAAGATTAATTTAATTAATAATAAAATAGACTAAAAACTAAATATTTTTGTTTTTTTAATATTTAATTTATTGTAAGCTTTTAGTTTAGAGATTTATTTATTTATACCTTTTAAGAAGTAAAAGATAACAGAAAAGAAACTTCTAACATTAGCTATTTTTAATACTATAAAGACTTAAATTAATAATTTATAAGAGATAGATTACTTATAACTTAAAAAGCTTTTAGATAGCTTTAAATGTCTTTTAAATAAATAGGTATATAATAAAACAATTATTAAAAAAAGAAAGCTTAATAGAATTAAAGTAGAATAAATTATTTATAGTAATTTTTAAAAGAAAGATAATATTTTAAGACTTAATTATAATTAAATCTTTTCTATTTATTTATTTTTTTTATATACAATAATTTTATTCTTTTATAACTCACTAACTAATTAATTCTTTTAATTAGACTGTATATTACTTTAATTACTTTAATTTACTTTTTTTAATAATTTAACTACTAATTATAAAGGAACTTTTATATAAAAAGTTATGTAATAATAAAAACGTAAAAAGTAATTCAAAATTTCAATTTAACTAAATTATAAATTTATTATTAAGTTAGCTATTTTAGTTAATATCTCTCTAAATTATAACTATATTAAGTTTAATTAATACAATTTAATTACTTTTCAACTTAAATACAATTAATATAAATTAAAAAACAAAACAAAATAAAAAACTAATTAACTAAAATTTAAAAATATTATAAAAACATTAATATTTAAAATAATATTAATTAAAAAGTATTATATTTAATATTCAACTTAATATCATTAATAGATTAGAGGAGAAATATTATAAAGCTAATTAAAAATTTCAAAATTACTATTTTTAGAGAAAGAGAGGTATTTAAAATATAAAATATAAAATTAATCTAAAGAGAATAATTTTTAAACTTATTTAAATTAAACGTTAACTCTTTAAAGAGGGTTTAACTAGTAAATCTCTAAATCATTTGCTTAAGAATTTAATTTAAGTTAAGAATAGAAAGTAATACTAATTATACTAAATTGCTATTTAATTATTTTTATGAAAATAATTTAAATAATAGTTTTAATACTAATTAACAATATAAAAACTATAAAAAGTTAGAAAATATTTTAAAATTAAAATAAAATAATAATAATAATACAGAAAAATGAGAATAACATACAGAGGTAAAAATAATATAAAACTACTATATAACTAATTAGATTACTATTTTAAGACAGAAATAGCTTCATTTATAGCACTAAAAGCATTAGTTCAAAAGGGGGTATAAGATAGAAGTTAGCTAGGTTAGGCCTAAGGCCTAAACCCTAGCCTAAATCCTATCTGTATGTAAAGGATCAGCTACACCACTTTGTAGCCAGCCGCGCCCAGCGCTCGTAGCTAGATTAATCAAGCCACTTCACGCACATCACCACCCACTCCCCGGCCCTCTAAAGGCCGAAGGCTGAGAGTACACTAGCCTACATGGGGCAGCTAGCCCGGACTCGCACTCCCGCATGCCGCCGTAGCCAGCCTGATTTTCCATCATGGAAGCAGAATTTAACATACGAAACCCCTCATTCAAAGGAGCCTCTTGTGCCGAAGAAACCTGCAGATTTATACCCAATGCATTGTTGCCAAGATGGCCTCGCATTCTGATGCCATGGAACTCAATCAGCGGTACACCCGTTTGGGGAATGCTACGCCGTCTGATGGAGAATTCAGTCCAAGCATCATCTTTTATGAGCCGATAGAGCCTGCCCCGGTACGTCGAAGGCCGCTTCCAGCAGGTGCCAGAACCACACTTGAGAAGCAATCCCCCGATCCTCGCACCAGTATCGATGTCGGTTTTGAAAATTGTCAACATCGTTTCTCAGACTCAACACTCAAAGACGACTACATAACGTCGCTTCATCCGTACCACAGCCCCGGCCTAGACAGTGCCTACGATCCCAACCTCAACCCAAAACCAATCACCCGCACAAACCTATCGCGATATCTCAACGGGTGGCTTGTCCATATCCCGGCCCTAGCCTCCACCGCAGTCATCATATGGATCAGCTGGAAGACTGGTACTGGTTCCCCATGGAAGGGCCCTGGCGTAACCTAGGATTCACTGCCGATGTCATCAACAACATACTCCATCTGCCCGCCAAGATCCACGAACTTCTCATCGTTGCTTCGTTCTTCTCCATCGCTATAGCAATGCTCCGTCGTCAACTGGTTGGTGGCGGAGTGAGTTTAGGGTTCCTTACCGGCGGTTATCGAGTGGGAGACATTTTCTACCTCGCCTCAAAGCCGTTTCGTCACTCTCAAGACCTCAACAACCCAATATCTTGGGAGTTTATTATCGCCCTTTTTCTTGTCTTGCCACTCTCATGTCCACAGTCGTTGGACCTGCATCGGCCGTTCTTCTTATTCCGACTCCCGGATGGTTTCCATTGGCCCATTCCCTCGCGTTCAGCAACCTTTCCGACCGTTCACTTCCGGTATTTTATGATTCGATCCCGGAAAGAGTATGGCCGCACACCTTTAATGCAACACCAGACATATCAGAATGCAAGACTATAGATGGAATGTACGAAGCATGGTGTCCGGCTGGTGGCTATTCGGAAATATGGAATTGGGCTGAAAGCTACAGCGCGACCGATTTGAAGAACAACCTCATCTTTCAATTTCCCACGACAGATGTGCGACGACATTTGGTACACGTCCAAGCCGATGGTAAATACAAAACTGTCCTCTCAACCACCCCGTCCAACTTCTTCATGATGGGGCTCGGTCTCATTCAGAAGTACATTGATGGCCACGATGTTGGACTTGTACACAGTAGCTCCCGTTACGAACTCACGCCTCGGCTGGCTAACTACACGCACCCCAACGACCGAGAATTGGACAGTTCAATCTATCAGCCCATGGTGCAGTCTAAATGCAGGGTTTACGAAAAACAATACTTCACAGAGCCGGGTCAAAGCATGACATATCCAACGGAGGCCATGAACTGTTTTGGCGACAGAGACTGTGAGCAAGTTCGGGACACTCCACCGACTTTCAATGAGAAGTTTCTATTCACCGAAACCGAGGAGGATGAGACGATCTCCACTGCGTACACTATAGAGGGTGGCAAAGTAAGCTCCGTGGTTCTCATCGCCGGACAAGTTCCAAACACAGATGATCACACGAAGGACATAGCCTACACCTGCAGCCTTCTAGCCACTTGGATCCCCTCGAACTTTTCCTTGGACCCCGCAGTCAGCGATGTTCTGTACTCTAGCCTGAGTAATGCAAAGACACTTCGGTCAGTCTATAACCAGACATCGGTTGAAGAGGCCCGCGTCATCAGGTTCAACCGCACCTGGCTTCCGTACCTAAATCCTTCGTACGAGATGACGACTGAAGGTGGCATCAGCTTTAATACCTCAGCCGTGCTCAGAATTATCGACCTCGTCAGCGGCTTAGGTTCCAGGGCCAGCAGTTCCAGGAAGTGGCCCATCTATGATAGAAAGGCAGAAGACGCGGAGCTCTTCCTATCTAAGGTATTCGGTGTCTACCTTACTGAGGCTTTAGCACGCACGGGAATGGCTAGGTCCATGATGATGATACAAGAGGGCGACGACGAAAAGATGCAAGGCATCGATTTGAATACACAGTACACTAACTCCGATGGAATGTTCAACGTCGAGCTGCTCCATTCAAATCAAACTCAATGGAATTTTGGCAGGGGTGTTGATGTAAGGAACTACACCCTAACCGACTTGTACGACACGATTCTCACTGGTTTTCTGAATTTCGACTTCGACATCAGAAGATACGGTTACGGAATGGGTCATCAGCGGAAGACTGTTACCTTCGCACGGGTCATGATGTACATCTACCTAGCATCCGTTGTGCTCTACGCCCTCACAGTCGGTTTTGCGCATGCTGTCGAGCTGACCGGTAGGGGAAGGAGGCTACGAGTCCTCAGTGTAGTGCCGTGGGCGGACCTACAAGACCTGATCGTTCTTGCACTCAAGACGCCTCCTCCCAGAGATGCCGACCTTGCAGACGCTGGAGCGGGGGTCAGCTCCCCTAGTGTGTGGAAGAAGACGGTGAAGGCTCGAGCAGATGAGCAGCATGATGTGCAGCTCGTGCTAAACGACGAGCCAGGGATGGAAAGGTTGGATGTCACTGGGAAAGAGAAATACTTTTGATCGATCCCGCTGTTTCGAGATTTCGTTGGTTTCCTCACACAACTCTGTCCGGTTGTTTGCTCAATTAATTTGTCACTATGAAGCACCAATGTGCACCAAAGGAATTAATACTAGATACACTACACAACTAGTCACCTTCTTCACAAAAACTGTAAGGGGGCATCGTCATCACATCTGATGACCATATTCCCTTGGTGCGTCAGCATGGGTCTAGTTTGCAGCTTGAAAAGGTAAGTTAATTACGGGAATGTCTGGCCATTTCTACCTCTGGTTTTCTTTTGTCTACGTTTTCCTGCACAGCATTGGATTTTGAAAATTTGATTGATCTGAATGCGCGCGCGGACATGGTCCCTGAATCACTCTGCTAGAGATAGCCCACGCTCTCTAGGTATGAGGCCGTTGGATGGTGAACGCACGAAAGTGGAGTAAAAATCTGGATCAGTACCACTTCGACTCATGAGAGATGCAGCTCGGAAGTAAATCTGCTCACATCACACTTGCTACTGGATTATTGCAGAGAACAAGAGTCTGAGCCGATCATCGGCTTTGTAACGTCACTGCATCGGCCCAGTTTCACACGTCGCCCAAGGATTACCGCTTTTGAAACGCCCAATCATTCCCCTGCCTGAGACTTAGTCACCTAGCTGGGCCTCGCCGAGCTCTCACCGCGTTCATTTAAGGAAACCTGCCCCAAACCCGACGGCTTAATTCCGTCTCCCTGCAGGAGAGCATGTAGGGATGCCGATCGTAGGCGTGCCTGCACAGTCTTCGCACTCGCACCTCAGCGGCTCGCCTCGCGAAGCGACGGATCCCGCGCGCAACAGGAACAGACGAAATGACATCAGGAAGCAACCGAACTGTCGGAAGTCCGTTCTCGTGCCAAGGGACAGGGCAGCGATCGAGTCACGTATACGACCCTGAGGTTTCTGAAGCTCGATCTGACAGGTGATCTCGGACCGAGAGCCTGGCTTAAAAGGTGCATGCATCCGCGAATCTGGGGAACCGTTGGCCCACGATCAACCTAAATCTCATCTCGATTCAACATGAAAGAACCTACGCGCAAGCTGAGATACAACGTTGCCACCTCGGTGGATGGCTTCATTGCGCCCCCCGATGGGTCTACGGGCTGGATTGTGATGGACTCGAACATCGACTTCGACGCGCTGTACGCGCAGTTCGACGCGTTTCTGATGGGGCGCAAGACCTACGAGTGCATGTTCGCCATGGGCGAGCAGAACCCTTTGCGAAAACAACCAAAAGAAAATCTCATCGTTTTCAGTCGCACGCTGAAAGCGGAAGATCACCCCGCTGTAACGGTTGTATCGAAAGATGTCATCGGTCACGTGGCGGAGTTGAAGAACGGCGAGGGCCGGGACATTTGGCTGATGGGCGGGGGCGAGCTAGCGGGCTTGTGCCTGAAGGCCGGAATGCTAGATGCGGTGGAGGCGGCGATCATGCCGGTCATGTTGGGGAAGGGAACACGCATGCTTGAGGAGGCATCGCTGATGCCCCACGGCGGATTCAAGTTGGAGATGGTGGAGAGTAGACATCTGGACGCGAGCGGGATCGTAATGTGCAAGTACAATGTCAGCAGAGGGATGGCCTGCTCACTTGGAGAAGCGCTGACATTTTGCTGATCCACGGATGGACACGCTGAGCAGAAGCAGAGGCAGGGATTACAGTGGACTGAGGAATACCCCAAAAGTTGCATCTTCAACCTTACGAATATCTAAAGAATGAACAAATTGACAATGCCGCCTTGATCGCCATGAAGCTGAAAATAATGAAAATGATCGATGACTTGCATGTTCCTCGCTCGACATGGCCAATCCCGTGACATTAAGATGGTACCAGCACGTCAAACGGGACGGATCTGCGAGCTGTGCCGCGCGATCATGCCACGATTTATAATCGAGACTATCAAGGGACAATTCGAAGCCCGATTGTGCCTGGAGTTTGTCAGTCTTAACCCGTCGGACAGATTGCGGGTCTGAAGGATTCATTGTCGCTGCTGATGACCGCGTAAGAAAGGCGTGACAGCGAGCTTAAGTCCGTCGCGGGCGATCTTCTTAGCTCCGCTAAAACCCCAGTTACCGTGGTAGTATGATTGCACACAGCATCATCTGGCGTCATATTAAACAGACATCTTTCATGTCGTGTGCACCTTCACAATCATTCATTTCACACCAACCCGCCGGGAAAAATCTCACCATGTCTCCCAACGGCAATCAACAGACGGTTCTCATCGTAGGTGGCACCGGTAAAGTTGGCCGGCAAATCACCAAGCTCCTGGCCAACACCGATATCCCCACCTACCAGTCCTCCCGGAGCGGCACATCCACCACGGAGCCGGAGGCCGAAAATGTCAAGCCGATCGCCTTGGACTGGGCCGATGAGAAGACATGGGCCGCGGCCTTGAAGTCCGGCGCGACAAGCGTCTTCCTCGTAGCGCCGCCCGTGCTCGACATGCTGCCCCCAATGCAGTCCTTTATTGACCAGGCACGGCTGGCTGGAAAGGCCAAGCGCTTCATTTTCTTGAGTGGAAGTCCGATGGAGGCAGATATCAATGGCCAGGGGATGAGTCGGCCGCATGCGTACCTGAAGGAGCTTGGTGACAGGGGTGAGGTGGAATGGGCCGCGCTGCGACCGACATGGTTCCAACGTGAGTACAAGTCAACTGAAAAAGATGAGATGGGTGCTAATGACATGGCAGAGAACTTTGCTGAACAGTTGAATCACATCAATTCCATCAAGGACGAAAGCACTGTCTACTCCGCCACGGCAGATGGAAAAATTCCATGGATCGCGACCGAGGATATTGCTGCGTGCGCATTCCGGCTGCTCCTCCAAGACGACGCACCCAACGACGAATATCTACTGTTGGGGTCAGAGCTACTAAGCTACGATGACGTACGTGTTAGACATGCCCGTTAACAGAGGCCATTGATGTCTAACTTTGGTGTTCAGATTGCCGAAATTCTAACCGAAGTGCTCGGTCGCAAAATCATACACAAGAACCTCTCACGAAAGGGGCTCGAGGATCGATACGTAAACTACGGCCTGCCGCAGGACTATGCGGAGATGATGGGTGCCATGGACACGAACATCAAGAATGGGAGCGAGAACCGGACGAACAGCGTCGTTCTAGCGCTGACCGGCAAGCAGCCGAGGAAGTTCCGCGACGTAGCCAAGGAGCTGAGGAATGTTTGGGTGACGGAATCGTGAACCGCTACGTAATTGGCGGGTTGGTTGTGCCTGAAATGAAGCGTCTCGGAGATCTGCAAACGCTCGCGAGGTGAAATGCCCCATCCGCAGACCAAGATGCCTATTGTCTCGGAGATTATGCCACATGGAATTTTGACCCAGCTAGAAAACAGGGTTGGGAAATTGAAAAAGGTTTTTGTTTTCAGTCAGCGACAGCCTGTCCGTTTCCAGCCGAAATGTTCGCACATGCTTGTGCGGGGGATCCGCGCTAGGTTGAAACAAGTCATGAGATCACAGGTGCTAGTCCGCAGATGTGTAATTCTGCAGGGCGAAAGGACCTCTTTCTTCACGCGCAAAGTTGCTCTAGAAGTTTCATCCTCAATTTGGCCATGAGATAAATCCTCAAACTCGAATATCGTCAATATGGAATCCTCGTTCGTAGACATTGAGAATGACCGGCCAACAACCCCTGGGACCGGACCGGAGTCCGGCGGGGAGAGGCCGAATCCACTCACGTACCCGAAAAGCACCAAGCCATTCAGCCAGGACCTGTTCGAGAGCCCAACGACAGAGTATCGCGGGTGCCCATTATGGTCATGGAACGGGACGTTGGAAAAGAAGAGGCTGCTGCGCCAAATCGACTACCTCGAAGAAATGGGCATGGGTGGATTTCACATGCATGTACGGACCGGACTTGACACCGCTTACATGGGCCCGGAGTTTATGGATCGGGTGCGGGACTGCGTCGACCACGCCGAGAGCAAAGGCATGCTCGCCTGCTTGTGAGACGCATGTGACCCAACGACGATGGGCTGGAATTGCTAATTCTCGTTTAGATACGACGATGACCGATGGCCGTCCGGGGCTGCTGGGGGCAAGGTGATTGAACAGTACCCTGAACACAAGACTAAGCACATCTTGTTCACGCTTCATCCCTACGGGACGGTCGACTTAGGAGGGTTTGTTACCTGAGAACTGGTGATGAAAGCTGGCTGACCTCCTCTAGCGAATGTTCTCCAAGTTCGGCAAAACCATGCCGAAGTGAGGAGGGATACCTCCTCGCGAAATTCTCAGTTACTCTGGATGAAAATGGGCGACTCATATCAAGCCGGAACTTGGATGGCGATGATGATGCCGATCCTGGGGGTAGGGTATGGTACGCCTACGTCGAGCACAATCCGCCGTCACCTTGGTTCAACGGCCAGACGTACATCGACACGATGAGCACTGAAGCCATGGGCCGCTTTATTGAGAGCACTCATGAGGTGTACAAGACTGCGGTTGGAGACAGTTTCGGCTCGACTGTGCCGTGCATCTTCACGGACGAGCCTCAGGTTGCCATTAAGAGTCAACTTTCCAGTCCTGATGGCCTCGAAGATGTCTTCATGCCATGGACGCAGGACCTGCCCGATACTTTCAAAAATGCGTTTGGCAGCGACGCCGACCTGATCAGCGGGATTCCAGAGCTTTTCTGGGACCTTCCTGGAGACACACCAAGTTTGACACGCTACCGCTTCCATGACCACGTAAGTGAGCGCTTCGTCACCTCGTTCCTTGACCTTCTCAGCACCTGGTGCAAGAAGAATAATATTCTTCTGAATGGCCATATGATGGAGGAGCCGACACTCCGACTACAAACAACCGCCCACGGCGAGGCCATGCGATGCTACCGAAATCAGTCACTGCCCGGGATGGATCTGCTTAACGACGGGGTAGAGTACAACACCGCGAAACAATGCACCAGCGTCGCGCGTCAAAACGGGATACGCGGGGCTATGAGCGAGATCTACGGCTGC